TCTCTCCAAAGTTGTCCAAAGGGAGTATTTAGTGTGATGCTTCAGTGGAAATAGAATTGTCCTAAGTAATCTCCAGCTGAAAGAACATACGGGATGGTTAGGTGCACACTGGTAAGAAGGGAGGGGTCATAAAGTAGGGCAGTGGCCATCCTTCCAGCAAATACTTCTGAGGGTCATACCAAGTGCTGAATATAGGGTATTTCAGTGAACAAATAGGCAGAAATCCTGCACTTTATAGTTTCTGATCTAGAGACAGGGACTCTTCTCAGAACCTCCCTGCACTTCTCATTTGCTCACATGAAAAGCTAGTTTTACAATGACTGAAGGGCTCTGCAGGATCTGCTGCCCACCCTACCCTTACCTTTCTGACCTCATTACAGGTTACTGCCCCTACCTTAACCCCTCCATTGCTGTTTGTCATATAGCTTCCTTTTTCTTACTGATATATATATTTTTAAATATATTTTATTGATTTTGTACAGAGAGGAAGGGAGAGAGAGAGAGAGTTAGAAACATCAATGAGAGAGAGTCATTGATCAGCTGCCTCTTGCACTCCCCCTACTGGGGATATACCCGCAACCAAGGTACATGCCCTTGACCGGAATCGAACCCAAGACCTTTCAGTCCCCAAACCGACGCTCTATCCATTGAGCCAAACCAGTTTTGGCTCTTACTAATATTTTTATTACTATTACATTATTTTTTCTAATTAAACACACACACAAGCACACAGGATATTATATTTTCAATGTACCACCTTCTGGTTCTCAGTACATTGACACAGTTCTTTCATATCTTCTATTTTTCTTATATGGAAATAAACATTAGAGATAAACTCCAGCTCTCCTATCTTCCCATTCCTGTTTCCATTTCCCTCTCTGCCTATCTAGAGGCAATCGTTATCATTAATTTGCTATATGACCCAACATATGGTTTATAGTTTTATTGCCCATATAACTATAATAATAAAAGCATAATATGCTAATTAGACCCGATGTCCTTCCAATGACCTTCCAGACGAAGCTGGGGCTGTGAGGGAAGCCAGGGTCCCAGGTGCCAGAGGGAAGCCAGTTCGTCAGCCAGGGGAAGGAAGGCCTACTCTTGCACACATTTCATGTATCAGGCCCTTCATTTATACATAATATGTGGAGTTTTGTGTGCTTGTGTTAAAATGTTTTCATATGGCATTATACTGTATAACTTTATACTTGCACTTTTTTGTCAGTTCAGATCAATGGGTATGAATCTAGCTTATTCATTTTAACTGCAGCGCTCTCTCCTGGCTTCACACTATATACATCCCAGAGAAGGCCTTCAATAAGCTTAGCTTGGGTCACTCTGTAGGTTAAGCAGATGGGGGACTCTGATAACTCAAGCCTAGAATACATGCCTATGCCTATAGCCAGAGGGTCATCTTGCTTATTTGCAGCTCTCACATTGATCACATGCCTTTGAAGGATTGTTATAGGAAAGAAAAAGTGGAGAAAGCATTTGGGACAGATAAAAAAACACACACACATATTTCCAATCAAGTTTCAAACTTGAGCTTGGACATGAAACCTTCTGGAACCTCTTCCTGACTCCTTACATCATGCTCCTGGCAGCCATTATCATGTACCATATCATAACTGCCCTCTCCTCATGGGGTGTACTCGTTCGGAGCAGAGACTGTGTCTATCTTGAATTGCTGTATCTCAGGAAATAAAAGGTGTGGCACAACATTGCATGCTTAACACATATTTTTGAATGAATGATTTCACCAATTGTAGCTTTCATGTGTGCACAGTAATTTTTTTCTAACCTCAAATATGTCATCAGCTGAACATGTTTTATGCAAATTTAATTCTCAGGACTTTCTGAGAATTAAATTAGCATTGGGAGAATTTGGATTGATTGGATGTAAGATGAGAACCATTCTATTTGGAAGTAGTTGTGGTAATAATAGCAATCACCATTTATTGAATGTTTTTTCTGTGCCAGGCATGTGGACACAAGTGTCATCTTTATGTCCATTGTGCAGATGATAACACTGGAGCTTGGAGAGCCCCGTGATCTGCTCAAGTCCTGTCTGCTCCTAAGTGGGGAGCTAGGATGTGGTCCATACACTGACCAGAGGCACACTCCTCAGACCATGCTCTATGCCTTCTCTAGTTACGAAACAGAAGTCTTGGGATTGGTAATAGGAAAAGGACCTTAAATTTGATCATATATAAAGCTTGGATGAAGATAAAGAGCTTGAGGGAGAATCAATCAGATCTTTAAGCGTTATTCCCATGGCCTCTCTCAAGAGAGAAGGCACCAAGGTGTGTGTTCATGGGGCTGAAGCCACACATTGTGGCCTGAGCTAGCACCACCTTACCTGGAACATTGAGAGAGCATTTGAGAAATACAGGTTGCCCAATACTGTACTGTCTCCAGCGTGCCACTTGGTCTTTAGCCCCGGGATTCTGGCCATGGGAAGGGTCATCTAACCAGGAAGGCTTGGAGCATGTGGATAAACATTTACACAAAATGAATTTTACTTAGAATACCTACATGAAACAAAGCACAGTGAATTTTTAAGCAGCTCCCTGAAACTGTGGGAGAGGCAATCAAGAAGTTTATAGCAGGCAAGCAGTGGAATCTGATTACATGCTGCCATTATTATTAAAGGCTAGTGGCCTGGTGCACTGATTTGTGCACATTGAAAGGAAACTGGGAACCCGTGCCCTTGTCCCTGGGGAGTTTCCATATTTCCTGAGCTGCTGGGATGTCGTGTGGGGAGTCTTCCTGAAAAAATATTTCCAAATGTCCCTTCTACAGCCAGGGTTGTACCTTGCCGGCCAGAGGTCCCAAGTAAATACCTTGGGCCGTGCTGAACACTTTCCACCGCTCAGAGCCAGATAAGAGATGCTTGGAGGTAAACAATACAAAGTTGGGGATCTTGGAGGGAGGGGGTGCTTTCTCTCCCAAACCCCCACCCTTTACATCCATCTCTCTGACTTTTACCCCGATTGTCAGTGGCCACCTTGTGGCCATTTTATTTTTTATTTTTTTTATTGTTGCATTCCTCTGTAGCTCTGGGGCAATTGGTAAGAGATGAGATTTTATCTCTATGCCCAAGGCAGAGTTCCAGGAGCCTGGCAGCAATATTAGGTTCATCCTGGCAACTCTGAGTGTCCGCATTTCATCCATTCCCTGGAGATTGTCTCTATAGGCTTATGAGGTATGTGCTTCACAGCAAGTTCTGGTTGAGCTGTGGGTGTCCCTTGGGAGGGTACTGCTGGGAGGGAGGAAGCGGAGGTATCCCTCCAAAGGAGTTGCCATTTGTGGGCCTGCCCGCCTGTAGGAGCCACTGGGGATCTGTGGGGAACGAGGGTGCCCGGATGCAGGCCAGGCCTGGGAAGGGTGCACGATGGCAGCTGAGGGTTATAGGAAGGAAGGAGGGAGAGGTGAATCGTGGTCCTGGGTAAAGTGCATTCTTAATAGTTCAGTTCCACATAGCCCTGATGCCTGATGGGGAGTTCCAAGGGGCCAGTGTCAGTATCAAGGTTATCCCAGTCACACGCAAACGTTCCATGCTGCATTTGTTCGCAGTAGATTGTACCAGCAGAGTATAGGGGGTGATTTTTCCACACAACTCCTAGCCCAAGTGTGGGGTTGCCTGAACCGAACAGGTCAGACCAGCACCTGCTGGTGCCCCTCTGCCCACTGGAGCTGACCAGTGCTTCGCAGGGATCCAGGAACAGATATTTGGTGTCAGATCGCGGACCTTTCTGGGAGATGGGGCCAGGGCCAGATGGTAGGTGGAAGTTGTGAAGAGCTTGCCCGAGGACACATATGGGTGTTGGTCATTGGGATGGATGTCACCAGCACTTGCTCTTGAGATGGCACCTCTGTGGGTTTTTCTTGAGCCTGCATCCAAAGACCCAGAGGGCAATAGGTAAGAGGTGCAGTGCAGCCACAGGGTCTGAAGGGAAAGTTCTAGGGGCTGGTAAAGGCTGATTTGTGGTCATTCCTGCTACACCCTCACCACCCAGTGTTAGGACTGCAGTCTGTTTGCTGGAGATTGTGCCTGCCAGAGGCAGGAGAGGCTCATGCACTTGGATTCTGTTTGAGTGGCTCTCACACTGTGGGAGTGCATTGACCACCAGGCGGCAGCTCCTGTGTTGAGTGTCTACCCCCTGGTGGTCAGTGTGCGACCGGTCATTCGCTCATTCTGGCATTATGCTGGCTTTTTATATATATATATAAAATATGTACACGACCACTAATGGTACTTTTCTTAATTGATGCTGTTTTAAATCAAAATATACAAGGATTTTCATACGTTCAGTCTAGAGCTTTGTGTCTGTCTCCCAGCCTGGTATTTACTCTAAAGTCTTGTATTATTTAGTTCTGAATTCCTCTCTCATAACCTCTGAAAACAGTTGGAGGTGGTTACTGATATCACTGAACTTGATAGGATAATCTGTGCTCTTTGTAAGCTGTCTACTATACTAGGTTACTGTAAGTTCCTTCCAGGCAGAGATACTGTTTCCCACTTTTATACTAAACTAGGGGCCTGGTGCATGAAATACATGCACAGGTAGGGTCCCTAGGCCTGGCCGGTGATCAGGGCTGATCTGCGGGGCGAATGGTGGGGTGATCAGGGGGACCCCTGCAGGCACCCACCCTGGCTGGCCTGGCGCTGCCCGATCGCTGGCCCCGTTTATATTTGGACTGCTAGTGCTACTTGCATAGTATGTCTGTGCTCCCAAATGGGCTTATCTTATTTCTATGCATAGAAAGCAGTTATCTGATGAATGGGTGGAGTTATAATGAAATTGTGTTTCTGTCCCTTCTAGGTTGCATCACAGCGTATAAGCTCAGTGGACCTCTCCTGTTGTAGCCTGGAGCACCTACCTGCCAACCTCTTCTACAGCCAAGACCTCACTCATCTCAACTTAAAACAAAACTTTCTAAGGCAAAATCCCAGTCTGCCAACTGCCAGAGGGCTCAGTGAACTGCAAAGGTGAACATCAGAAATGGGTCGTTCAAAAGGGGAGGGTTGTCAGCTTCCAGTTGTTTCCTGAATATTCTTACTTAAAAAAAAATAAAAATAAAGCTCTAGTGTTTAAATTTCAGAGGGCAGAGTAATAGGACTTTATTAGTAAAGACATTAGCAATTCTTATTCTGAAATTAGTTTCAAGGTTCTTGCCTTTGAAATGAATGCTTTATGATATTCACTAACAGGATAGATTTGTATAAGAAGAACATTTTTCTTTAAATCACTTTTATTTCTTAACCAATCTACAAGTGGGTCAGTGAAAAGTTAATGCTTTTTGGTGCATTACTTCTGAACACAGGGATTTGATCAGATTGAATTATTTCTTTTGAAATTCAGGAAAGGTCAAGGTTTTTCTATAAGAAGACATTTCCTTAGAAATTTAAGAACTAAGGTTTAAATCCATTAACACCATCTAGGTCAGTGGTCTGCAAACTCATTAGTCAACAGAGCCAAATATCAACAGTGCAACGATTGAAATTTCTTTTGAGAGCTGAAAACCGACTTCTGCGCATGGGCCACTAAGTTTCAATCGCACTGCACGCATGTGGTATTTTGTGGAAGAGCCACACTCAAGAGACCAAAGAGCCATATGTGGCTCGCAAGCCTGATCTAGGTCATCATAGATGTAGTGTGCAAATCTCAAGAGTCTGTGTTAAATGAATAGGGTCTGCTCCTTTGTTACTAGAGAAAAGACACTTTATTTGTATGCATTTAAAATAGATTTAAGAATTTACCATATTCATATTCTTTTCCTTTTTTGGAGCAATGATCAGTCTTGAATCTATAGTAAATGAAGTATTTAATACATATACATTTGTTGTAAATACATGAGACTATAATTGCAGAAGAATGTAACTTAAACAAATAATGAATGGTTCACTTGTTCTTAAATGACCGATAGCGATCAGAGATTAAACTATGGTAATTAATCATTGTGATTATGCGTTTATGATTTTTAATTCCAGGAAAAATAATTCAGTGAATGTTTATTATAAAGTTTGTGCAGATATATAGGAAAAGGGAAGAGTATTTTAATGGTCTTTTCTGATAATTGTGAATATTCTTTTGATACTATTACAGCTTGACAAGCAATAATTTCTTAAATGTTAGATTTAATGTAGAATCTAAGACCTTACTAGTGAACTTTTAAAATTGTTTTACATTAGGCTCTATTGGTTTTTCTTGCACTTTGAATGGGGTCTTTGTGCCCATGCATCATTTTATTGCATTATGTATTGGCCATTTGGAAAATACTGGTTTGTTAGGTAATATAGATATTCCAAATGTTAACACATTTCATTATGCAGTTTCAAGAAATCACAGTTGTTAATATTACCACACAACTCATCAGAAAAATATTTGTGTTGGAATGTTGTCAAGCTCACGGTGGAAACAAGTTTTCCAAAATTTTAATTTTCAATTGAAAGCTGGAAAGCTGTCCCTTGGCAGCAAATACTGTCAGTTGTTTTTCCTGAATTGACCTTTTCTCTTCATTGTAGAGGAAGTGTCTGCCAGATACCCAAGTCTAAATAACGAGTTTGTCAGTTATCTTTTCAAGTAAAAGTTGTATTCCATAAACATAGTGGCTTGTTTGGCTCACAGCTCGAATAATTGTACAAGTGTTCTCCTTGAGATGACCTTCGTGCTCTAGTATATAGAAGTTCTTTATATGTACTTTCCACATTATCACCCAGAAAATAAAGATACGAACTCACAGGTTGAGATGTAATACAAATAACTGCCTTGCATCAAGGGCAATTTTAAGTAAAACTGGCATTACAAATTTTTAAAAATCTTTTTTGCTATGATCACCTGCTAGAGAAGTCAGTGACAGCTGGGACAGTTTGGTGCTACATTGAATTAATTACACAGGCAGTCAGAACTCCAGGAAGGATATTATGTTCAAGCACTTCCTTATCCTTCCTTGGAGCAGATAGGTATGAAAGGAAGGCACAGCAAAAATCCTGATCATAGGTTTTCATATGCTCTATGCATAATAAAGTTACTATGATTGTTTTGCCAAAGGGGGGTCACATTATGATTTGGTCTGTTTTGAGTTTGGAAATTATTTTGAAATTTTTTTGTGTGAGTTTTACAACAGTATATATAGGTTTTTGCACTTAATTATGGAACATCCAGAACTTTGTCACAATAATAGTATTGAATCCTGGTGTCTCAGAATAGAGAGAATGGTGTTAGAATTCATGCAAACCAGTGCTCTTATTTTAGGCATGAAGTAGATGGAGATTTTAAATGCCAAATTCAGATTAGTGGTCATCTTATGGGAGGCAGGTTGGGGATGGAATTAGGGAACAGTTTGAAGAGAGTTTCAGCTATGTCCATAATGTGTGGTTTTTTTTCTTTAAAAAAAAATAATGGCAAATATGACAGAAATTAATGGCAAATATGACAAAATACTAATATTTGAAAAAGATGAAAAGTTGGTACTTGGATGACCATTCCTATTTCCTGTATTTTTCTACTTGTATATTTAATAATAACCAAAAATTTTAAGCAAAAGGCAAATCAGAATGCATCTATGTTCTTGGGGAGGAGGGAAAGGACATGATGCTCCCAAGGAGCCAGCATTTGTGGACTAATTAAGTAAACACCTAGAGGGGTAGATATTTGTGGCATCGCCTTGCCTGTTCTTTCAGTCTCCTGATTGTCTCCCATTACCTATTGATTCTCCACATATAAATGCCTTTCTAAACCCCCCCAAAAGTAAATATCTTTTAAACCCACCCCCCTTTCTCCTGTGCTCCCCACCTCTCAGCAAGCCTCTGTCCACCAGCTATCCAGGAAGCACTTCCCTGCTCTCACTTAGAGTTCTGTAGGAGCCTAGAGATTGGTTGTTTCACTGTCATTTTCCCACTGCAATTCATTCTCTAATTTTCTTGCCTGTTGCTCTGAATTTTTAAAAACTTAAACATTTCCCTCATCAAGATAATACATATATAATATAGATTTTTAAAAATTTTATAGCAAACAATAAGTCCCATACTAAGAATAGGTGCGTAGAACTCCAGCACATCCTTTCACCCAAGTCCTGCTCCCCAGGCAACCACCTTTGGGTTTTTTTGCTGTTTTCCTCCATCTTCTGAAATATTATGTATATACTACACTTTAAAAAATTTTTTTCATTATTAGACATTACACGCTGACATATTACCATGGAAGATGAGACTTGAACTCTCTTACACATGTTGCACGCCCCCTGCCAATCCCCACATGTAGAAACTGCTGCTTCCTCATTGCTCGGTATTAGTTTTTAGTTGACTTGTCCTTGAGGGTTGACATTCTTTTGAACGTGGAACCATGATTCACAGCTAAGGCACTTAAATACAGTGATTCCATTTCCTTTGTTGTGTGCTGCTGCTTTTTTTCATTGGTGTGCTTTCCTTTTCCTCCAGTACCCTAAGCTTTCTGGAAGCATTATGTCCCTCTTCTTAGCACCCCTTCCAGGGACAGGCTTCCTTCCTTCTATGAGCTGCAGCTAGTCAGTCCTTGCTCTGCAGGCCAGCTGCACAGCTGCTGTCCTGGGAATACCTTTGCCATTTTCCTGGGAATTCCCTGCAGTCTCTCCTTTGTGGGACCCCTAGTTTTCCTATGTCTTGTGACTTTTTTCTTCGTTTACTCCCTCTTTTTAATGGAATGTCTTCTAGGATCTTCCTGAGAAAAGGGATGTGGGGGCAAATTTATTAGACACTGTATATCTGAAAATAGTTTTTCTTTCACACTTGATTGATGATTTGGCTGGCTACTAGAGAGGAAAACATGTTTCTTCAGAATGTTGAAGCCAGTGAACCATTGTTTTCTAGCTTCTGAAGTTCCTGTTAAAAAAGGTTGTAAGTGATCTGTCTTTTGTTCTCTTTTTTAAAATTAATAACCCCCAAAGGATTTTAGGATTTTCTTTTCATGACACTCCTTATTTCAGCCTCTATGATGAACACGTGATCTGAAAAATTATGTCCTTCAGTTCTGGAATTTTCTCATTATATGTTTTGGTGATTTCCTCCCCTTTGGTTTTCTCCTTTCTTTCTCTGAATTCCTGTTAGTTAGGTGGGACCTCATTGTTTGTCCTTTGATTCTCTAATTTTTCTATCTCTGTCTTAGTGCCTTTCCTACTTCTTGACAGGTTTTATCTATTTTGCTTTAACCTTTCTGAATTTCTGCTGTCTTTATTTTCTAAGAGAGCATTCTTGTTTTAATTTATTTGCATTTTAATAGCATTGTTATTTTTTTCCATTGGGTGCATTTTTTTCTCTTTCTGAGGACATTTTATTTACTTATTTACTTCTTTCTTGCATTGTCTTTTTTTTTTTTTTTTCTTCCTGTTTGTATAATTACCTGACTTTTTTGTTAGAAATTTTAGTGAACTGCTTGGTGATCATTAGGTCTCTATTCCTATTTAATGGTGAGTCACTGAAAAGTGAATCTGGTGCTTCTCCACCTTACAGCTTCATTGTGAGGGCTGTCATGGCAAGCCTTGTGGTTTCATTGGGAAACTTCTAAAGATAGTGTCTGTGGATCTTTTCCCTAGGCCAGTGGTCGGCAAACTCACTAGTCAGCAAAATGTTGGAACACCAATATAATTCAGTAGGAATTAGTTCCACTGCTTTGATACAGTACTAAAAACAAATATCAATAGTACAACGATTGAAATTTCTTTTGAGAGCCAAAATTTTTTAAACTTAATCTTCTTCTAACGCCATTCCTTCAAAATAGACTCGCCCAGGCCATGGTTTTTTGTAGAAGAGCCACACTCAAGGGGCCAGAGAGCTGCATGTGGCTCGAGAGCCGCAGTTTGCTGACCACGGCCCTAGGGCATGTCAGTTTTACTGGAGAGGAATCCTTTGGTCTTTTGCCTGGGCAGTGCATGTCAAGATTCAGGGACCTGAACAGGAAAGAGAACTGGAATCTCAAGGCTTAGCATGTGGATTTCTATTTGATCGCCTTGTTTGCAGAGCAGTGTTTTCTATGATGCCTAATGTCTGAGCCCAGAACTCTCTGGTTCACTTTCTTCTGGGGAATAAACTGTCTCCTTCTGGAGTTGGGGAGATGACCCAGGGTCTAACACCCCCTTATGTAACCTTTTGAACGTTTTTGTTTTCATAGAAGTATAATAAAAAAGACATAGCAAAGGCACAGATATGAGTGTACATTTGGGTTTACAAAAAATAGTAAATCAATTTTACCAGTACCCGTATTGACAAAATATTACTGCAAAGGTTTCTATTGCTTTTTTTTCCTTGTTTTTAATATCAAGAAAAATGACCTGAAATATAATAATGTTACATGTAATAAACATTAATATGGGGGGGGGATATGCTGAGGGAACTTGGTATGTGGGGACTGAGCAACTGGTGCAGCTGCTGTAGCAATGCCCTTTGGAAAAATGATGCTTTAAACCAATTTCTTTTCCACTACATTCTTCTACAAGATTTTTGGCCCCCTCCTGCATATCTAAGAAAGGTTTCTTGCTATGTTTCAGAGTAGTAAGTGTGCAAGTGTATGTAAATATGCACATACACACACACACATACATTTAATGCTAGGGACTTAAATTTTAAAAACTCATATTTATACTCCAAAGACTGTTCCTGTAGTATGCAGTTTTGAGAATATGCCATTTATCTAATTTTTATTTGTGTGTTTAAGGAATTAGTGCTAATCTAGTGTATGCTTCACAGCGAACAGGTTAGAGAGTTCCCAAGGATAATTTATCTTCATGTTTTACCTAAGTCTCAAGAAATGAATATTTAGATTATAATGTTAGGGCAAATGTCCAGGGAGAAACTTTTTTAGGTACAATACATTTATAACATGCAGGCATTCTGAGACTTTTTCTCTTAACTACATAGCCCCTTAATTTTGCTTCCTACGGCAAATTCTCACTTTAAACGAATGAGCTATTTTCACAGAACATTTAAACTGG